AACCATGTTCCTGTCGATGGACAGCCGCATCTGCTGTTTTTTTTTAAAAGATGACCGGTAAGGGGATCTTAACCCTTGACTTGGTGTTGTCAGCACCATGCTCTCCCAAGTGAGCTAACCGGCCATCCCTATATAGGATCCGAACCTGTGGCCTTGGTGTTATCAGCACCGCACTCTCCCGAGTGAGCCACAGGCCGGCCCCAGCTCTGATTTTTTATTGCCAACAGTGCAGCAATGAACATCCTTGCTCACAGATCTTTTTGTACCCATGCTGGGAATTCTCACAAATTCCCACAAGTGGAACTTCTGGGTCAACAAGGTACACAACTACACTTTTGATAAACATTGCACAGTTGCCCTCCAAAAAGGGTGCACCAATTTACTCTCCCTCCAAGAGTGTATGAGAGTTTCTCTGTGTGCTTACTAGCCTTTGGTGTTATCACTTTGTACTCTTTACTCATGACTACATCCAGAAGAGAAGGAGTGGGGGTGGGGCCAGGTGCTGAGTGGCCTCGCCGCCCCTCCAAGGGCCTGGGAAGTGGGATGGGGAGGCGGGTGCCACACGAGGCCTTACCTTCTGGAGGTCCGTGTGCAGCTGTTTCAGCATCACCTCTAGCTGGTACACTTTGCCTGTCAGATCCAGGGGTGGCTCCTCGCTGGAAAGATAGGGGACAAGGTCAGCCCCTAGGGAGAACTCCTGGGAGCTCTCACACCAGCTAGGAGGAGTACAGGATATGGGCCCCTCTTGTACCTGACAGTCTAGTGATTTCTTTGCTGGAGGCCTGAGGGGTGCGTCGAGGAGGAGCTCGGAGAGGAAGCTGGAAGCCAGCCCTCTTCCCAGCCATGCTCCACCTGCCGAGGGCACATCTTAGGATGTGGGTGGGGGTCATGGGTGCACCAGGCCTGCTGAAGGCTGGGGATGGGCCCACCCTGGGGTGTGCATTTCTGCTGAGGATGGGCCTCATGCATGACTTTAGGGTATATTTAGGGGCATGATTTTCCAGGTATTCACAGAATACAAAGAACCTGCTCCACCAAAGTCTACTGAGCACCTAGCAGGTCCAGTGCTGTTCCTGGCACAGGAAGGATGTAAGTGAACATATGGACAGAAGGGCCTGCCCTCATGGACAGGACTTTAACATCAGCCCTGACAGTGATGATGACAGTCCATCCATCACTGAGAGCCCACCTATGTGAAGTCCTGGGCTACCCGGCTCCAGATCTAACGGAGATCCCCTGCCCACTGTGGCCTTTGAGGGCACCACATCGTTACCCACCTAGGGAAGGAGGGAGCCCAGTCTCAGGCAGGGGACGTCACCCACCCAAGTGCTGGTGCTGGCATTTGAACCCAGGACCCACAGCCTGTATCTTCTCCTCTCTGCAGACTCTCCCAGCCCCCTCCTGCTTGGAGCGGGGTTTGAAGGCAGATACCGGGCGCTGTGGGTGCACACATTTGGTGGAGGGGTTGGGGAGAGGGGCTGTGGCAGATGAGAAGGGAGGCAGGGAGTCGGCCCTCCTGTCTCTCCCACCACTTTCATCCCTCCACAGACCTGAACCTTGGGGACCTGCAGCTGCCAAAGGGAGGTGGGGGCCAGTGCAGCAGCAAAGGGAATCGAGGAGTGTGCCTGGGGGCCACCGGTCCCGCCACGATCCACGCCCCACCTGTTCCCATCCTCACTAGAGCAGCACGCTCTGCGACTGCCTGTTTCTTGTGATCACAGTGGGCCTACATGTTCGGTGGAGGTTGAGTTCTGAAGTCAGTGTGTGAAGCAAAAAACATGAACAATCAAAATTATCCTCAAGAAATTGCTTCAACTGCCCATGAAGCATAGTGTGCGGATTGTTGTATACAGAACCCTGCACTGTGAGGTGTGCAGACAGGTGTGAAATGCACTATTTAAATCCCTGTACAGGCAGAACGTGTCGTTTACACTTTTGCTGCCTCTTTTTAATTTTACTTTCTGCCAAGCCAGTGAAGTCAAACATGTTGCACTGTGAGAAGCCACATGTGAGATGACAAACGTGAGATGTCCGGCTCCTTGTCCTCCTCCTCCCCAAGAAGCCTCCCTCCGGGGGGCAGGACCTGGCCTACAGGACGTGGCAGAGAAGACAGGACAGGTAGATGCTCGGCGGAAGTCTGCATGATCTAGAAATCCCTAGAAGGGGGGACCAGGTCTGTAAAATTTCAGAAGCAAAAGGAAAAGTGAGACAGAGAATATCGTGCCTCTTGAAGCGAGAAAAGAAATCACATGGGGCTGCCAGTTAAAATGACGATTCCTGGGTCCCACCCTAGACATGTGACCTGCTCTAGGGGCAGGCTTGAGCCCTCTGCATTTTCAAATGTGACTGGTAAGTTATCTTAATGTAAAGGCAAGAACTGGTGACAATCCCAGTGCCCTCAAATAGTGGCTGGTCTGGTGTGCCTTGAATTCACGGCCAGAAGATGAAATACCTGGGGGCATTAAAAACAAGGTGTCCATGTGTGCCAAGTGCCATGTGGAGACAGGGTGGCACCAGGAGTGGAGGGGCAAAGCAGAGGGGGCTGTGCAGGCGCCTGCCAGGGCTGGGAGGGCGAGCCCCAGGGCGAGCAGGCTCCCCAGATTCAACTTCTTCCATTTCTCTGCTTGAAGTAAAACCCGTACAGTAAAAACCTGAATATTCTTTGCTTAGAGCCACCCATGGATAACACTTTGCCACATTTACTTTCTCTCTCCTTCCTTATCTGCGTGTGTATATTTCTTCCTCTAACCATTTGAGAGTAAACTGCAACATCATGGCACTTTATCTCTGCCCCAAAATAAGGACGCCCTCCTATATCATCACATCACTGTCATACTCGAGAAAGTTAACATTTACACAATGTTATGTAATATATATGTCATCTTCAAATTTTCTCCAATTCTCTGAATAATATCCTTTATAGCTGCTTTTTTTTTTTTTCCTATCTTGGATTTAATGTTTATTCTCTTTGAAAATATTTTTATAGTAACAATTTCAAACATGCCCCAAAACAGAGAAAATCATGTTACGAGTCCTCAGGAACCCATCACCAGTTTCAACAATTTTCAACACACAGCCACTCTGGTTTCCTACACCCCACCCTTGGACAAGTACGAAAGAATTTGTGGACCACCACAATAATTCGCAAATATTTCTGGGTAGATACTTTGATGCCCTGTTTCTACTAAAAAATTTCCCCACTAGTTCTAAGCAATCATCAGGTAGTATTGCCTACGACAATTATTGTGGCGTTGCTCTAACGACGATTTTCTATTTCCCTCATTCCTTCTAGGTTTACTCACTGGACTCACCCTGTGAGAAAGAGTCCATGGATTGTCTATTCACTTATTTTTTACTTATTGTCTATTCACCATTTGTTTACTCACTTATTTACTCATGGGAGCACTGGCTCATGGATATTGATTTTATTCTTTGGGTTATATCCAATATTATTTTTATTCTGTTGTTCAAATTAAGTTGCTCCAAATTTGGCCATGTTCCCATGGTTCGCTCTCCAGGTTTGCTCATATGTCCCTTTTTATGTGCGTCCCCCCCGCCCCCCCAGCATTTCCTTACTTTCTGGTACCACAAGATGTACCCACCTCCTTACTTTTTTTCTTTTTCTAGAATATTTTAAAGCAAATCACAGACATCTTTATATTTCACCTGCAGAAACTTCACTAAGTATTTCTAGTGAAGAAATATTTCGTTTTGTTTTTTGGCAGCTGGCTGGTAAGGGGATCTGAACCCTTGAACTTGGTTATCAGGTTTTTTGGTTTTTTTTTAAACAAAACTATGCCATGAAAACACCTACCAAAGTTAAGAATTCCTTTTGAATTACACAGGAAAACCTACATATATCTTCATTAAAAAACAAAACAAAACAAAACAATAAGAACCTTACAATAAGCTGAAACCACCCTGACTTCCATTCCACCGCTGGCCCCTTTCCCCTCCCAGGGAGGTAACTGCTATCACGACGCTGGTGTGTTTCCTTCCAGGCCTTTCTGCTACACTGTCACCTCCCTTCCCCCAACCTTCTGTGGCTCATCTATAAATTTTATAAAGAAGGGAAACGCTCCCGAGGTGACTCTGATGCACGGCCTGGGTGAAGAATCAGTGCCATCAACCAGGCTCCCTAAGATTTCTGCCATGAGGTGCACATTTCCCAGGAAGGCTGGGGTGAATGGAGTGGCTGTGTTGGGGACAGGGGTCTCTGGCTGTCCCAGCCCTTCCCAGCAGCCATGTCTGGACAGAGCATGATAGTGCCACAGCTGATGGCATCTGGGTCTCCAGAGAGGCCTGAGGCCTCGCATCCGCTTCCCACTGGCCCAGAACCAGCCATCCTGGCCCCAGGATGCTTGGAGATCCAGGGGAGAGAGGAGATGGCCCAGCTGCCCCATACCCTTTCCCCGATTCCTCCCAGAACCCCCAACCCTTATACTCCTATGGCATAAGGAGCCCTGGGCTGTAGTGCAGACCCTGCCCACTCTTCTGGGGAACCCAGGGAATGAAGACCCTGCAGGCTACTGTGAGACTCCCCTGGGGCCCAAGGTGATGGGAGGATCTTGAGGAGACTTGGAAAGGACACTCACTAAAGGCCCTCATATCCACCTCCTGGCTCCCAAATCCAGGGTTAAAAACCCACATGTCCTCAGGGACACACAGTAGGCTCCAGCTCCCTTGTTAACCAGCACCCTCCTTGCTCGGGAGCCTGCGGTGCCTTCACTTTTCAGGCCTTGCGCTGGCTCCCATTCCTTCTCCTCCCTCCCGAAGTCACAGGCCCAAGTAACGCTCAGCCTAATACAGCCCGAGTCTTGTACGTGGGATGTGAAGTCCTCGGGGCCGGCAGCATCTAGTTTGTGGAACTAATACATGAACCAAAAAATACATGGGGCTCCATTTTTACCAAAATCATCCCCGCTTTCCCTCCTGGGCCCTTTGGATAGTGGGTCAGCCTGAGGAAAGTTCTGCTCAGGTTTGGATGGACCACATGATGATGGACAACTAGGTCGGGCGTAGAGGAAAGGCAGTCCTCACGCCAGGATTACCAAAAACTTAGAATTGCTCAGCCAAAGGCGAGTGCATTTTAGATTTGGTAGCAGGTGCAGCAGAGCTGCCCTCCACAGGGGCCTGCACCCAGCTTACACTGCACTCAATGCAGGCAGGGCCCCTTTGCCCCCTGCTCACCCACACAGTGCTATCAAACTCCATCTCTGCACTTTGAGATGTGAAGAACTGTATCTCAGTGAGTTCCAACTTGCATTTATCTTATTACGAGAGAGGCTGAGTGGTATTTTCAAAAGTGTGAGAACCATCTGAGTCTGTTTTTCTTTTGACGGCTGGCTGGTACAGGGCTTGAACCCTGGACCTTGGTGTTATCAATGTCCTATGCCCATTTTTCTGGAGGGGGGGGTTCAGTCCTGGTCCAAATCCTGGCCTCATGTGCCAGGTGACTGAACCCAGGTGATTTTGTGATAGCCGAGCCTCAGTTTCCTCATCTCTAAGTGGGAGTCCCAATACATCCTTCAGACTGGAGCTGAGAAGAGATGATGTTTGTAAAGTGATAAAGTCCTGGCTCACAGTAGATGCTCCCTCATGCCATCATGGCTGGAGTCACTTCCTCCAGGAAGTGCCACTGAGCAATGCTCTTCCACACTGAACTTGTCAGGCCTCTGCAGGTTCAAATTTACCTGCAGTGTTGAGCCACTGCTCAGTAACCATTCCCCAGTGGTTCCAGAGTGTAAGGGTGCAGGCCTGACTGCCTTCCTCCTGTGGACAGGCAGGCTGCAGAACGGGACAGAGGCAATGAATGGAAGCAAATCAGGGAGGGAGCTTCCTCCAGGGCCTCCTGCTGACGTGGACCAGCTCAAACATGCAGCGTACCATATGGGTCTGGTTTAATACCCTTCCCTGTGTCAGACCCTGAGCTGGGCTCCCAGTGGTGACAGAGACAGCCCTGGGTCCTGCCCTTCCGGTGCAGTGGGGAGACAGAACCATCATAAGATAGCAACAGACTGGAGGGGTCAGGGCCGTGGGAGCTCAGACGAGGTGCCTGATTCAGACTAGGGGATAAAAGAGATGGCTTCCTGGAGGAGGGACGGCCAAGCCATGGCCTGAAAGATGAGAACAAATGTGCCAGAAGAATACATTTGATGATAAATGCATGAGGTGACTGATACATTAACTACCCTGACCCGATTATTATACAACATATATAAGTATCAAAATATCAGACTGTGTACCCCATAAACATGTATAATTACAATGTGTAAATTCAAATAAAAAAAAAAAAAGAATACATTTGTGTTTGTCAGGGATCATAATGGGTCCCGTTTTATAGATGATGAAACCAAGGCTTAGAAAGGTAAAGCCACTTGCCCAAGGTCACACGGGAAGGAAAGGGGCGGACTGCTAGCTGTCTCTCATAGTCTGTTTTCCCTTTTTCCGTAGTAACAAATCACAAATCTTAGCAGGGCACATAGCTTCCTTCCTGGTCTGCCCTACAGCGAGGTGTGGCCGTGGGATGAGGCTCTGGTCAATGGGAACTAAGTGTAGGAGTAGGTGTCCTTAAAGTGAAGGGATGTGTCCTCCTCTTTCCTGCTGGCTGGAGCTGGACGTGATGGCTAGGGCTCTAGTAGCACCTCGGATGGCGAGGGTGAGGCACCTGGAAATGGCAGCACAGTGGCTGGAAGGAGCCTGGGCCCTGATGAATTTGTGTAAGGCCCACACCAGCCCCAGACTGCCCACCCCAGGAATTTTTACCACATAAAACCGTGCGTGTTTAAGTCGTTAATTCAGGTTTTCTGCACCACACAGCCAAACCAATTCAAATCTAGTTTGGATCAGTGCGATTTTGCACTGTAATAATAATATAAGGTATTATCTGTTGAGGGCTTGCTCTGGGCCTAACATGTTTTATACACAGTATTTACTTCTTACTGCAGCCCCAGGCAGTTGGTGCAGTCACTGTACCTGCTTGGTAGTCATGGTAACTGGGGATCAGAGAGATAAAGACACTTGCCCAGGGTTGCATAGTGAGCAAATGACAGGGCAGGACTTGCCCTGCTCCCCCTGACTCTGGAACCTGAATGTATCCCTCCTGCAAAGCGGCAGGCCCTCTACTGATCCTTCTAGAACAGAGCAGGGGGTGGGGTCTGGCAGGGTTGGGTGGACGGTGCCTACCTTCGTATGCCTTGGCTGCATTTACCAGGCTGGACCACTCGAGGCCAGCCGCCGTGTCGGGCAGCGGCATCATCCCGGGATCGAGGCGCCGCAGCGGCCGGTCCCGCCCATCAGCCAGCGAGAGCTCCGAGGCAGAGATGGTGGCTGGGTGGGGAGAGTGCAGACAGGGAAGTAGCTGAGCATGACAACGTGGGAGAGACAAGTCACTTAATAATTATACTGCTTATTAGAAGACAGCAGTGCCCGGGAAAACCTCCAGCAGGATAAGGGAACCAGAATGCTGGATGCTTGTGTGGGTGCAACTTTAAACATGGTGCTAGAAGAGGCCTTGATGCAGACATGAAATGTGAGCCAAGCTCTGAAGACTGGGAGTGAACCAGGGGCACACCTGAGGGAAGAGCATTCTGGCAGATGGAACAGCCAGCATAAAATCCCTGAGGCAGGGATGTGCCTGCAGATTTAAGGAACACTGAAAAGGCCCATGTTGCTGGGACAGAATGAGTGAGAGAAGAGAGTGGTAGGAGGTGAAGTCAGAGAGGTGACGGGCTCATGGAGACAGACTGTGTGTGTGTGTGTGTGTGTGTGTGTGTGTGTGTGTGTGTGTGTGTGTGCTGGGGGGAGGGAGCAGTGAGGAGGCTGCTGTGACAATACACAAGGGAGACACCAGCGGACAGGACCAGAGTGGGGCTGTGGTGGAACAAGTGGGTGGATTCTGGGTCTATTTTGCAGATGAAACCAGCAGAATTTTCTGAAGAACAGATGTGGGTGTGAGACAAAGAGAAGGACGCAGGATGACATCAAGGGGTTGGGCCTGGGCACAGCCGGATGGAGCTGGCTCTGAGAGGGAGAAGGCTGGGGGTGGGGGATTAGTAGCTTGTTTCTAGAGGTGTTAAGTGGAGATGCCATTAGACACCACAAGGAGACAGTAGGATGAGGGCTGGCCATAGGACCTGAGAGTACCAGGGTGCAGATATAAATTTGGGTAGTCAGTGTATAGACAGTGTTTGGACATGGGAGACCAGGTGGGTTCAGGTATGACATGCCAGGCAGAGAAAGAGGCCCCTGAAGACTCAGGGTTTGGGGAGTGATGGAGAGCACAAGCTTCGTGCCAGTACCCGCATTTGCTGCAGCTACTGAGAGTGCCAGACGTAGGCTTGCTGACCCCTCGCAGCCCTTAACAGGAGGGGACAGAGGACAGGGGGCATAGAGAGGTCAGGAAACATGCCTGAAGTGGCTCCACGTTCCTGGCTGACAGTGAAGTGTATCTGCTCCATGTCCCCTGGGCACTTGCACTGTGCCAGGCACTGTGCCGAGTGTGCTATGGGGAGCATCTTACAACATCACCGTTAGCCGGGGGAGGTGTTGTTATGATCCCTTGGTATGGAGGAGGAAATCAAGGCTCAGAGCAAGAAGCTGCCTCACCTGGGTTTGCACATGCCAGCGGGAGCACAGGGATTTGAAGTGGGTGGTCGGATGCAGGCCCAGCTCCGAGCCCAACCACATGTGGCTTCTGAGGTTTAGAAAGTCCTTGTTGTATATACTCTGCTTTAACCCTCACTCTCTAGTCCAGAGGTACACACCTGACTAGTGACGAATTAAGATGCTTACTCCAGATGATAGAATACTAGCAAGAAAATAATGAATAGCTAGTAGTTTTTCAATGCTTACTACATAGTAGATGTTGTGCTAATTGTTTTCCATATATTCACTTGTTTGATTCTATCCACCTGGTGAGGTGGTCTCTATTTTCGGTCATATTTTACAGTCAAAGAAACAGGCATAGAGAGGTTACGTTTGTGAGTGGAAGACGGGGACCCAAACTCAGGCCATCTAGCTCTCGGATGAGTGGCACACAGTAAGCGTTAGCTGAAGGGGTGAATGACTGAGGGCCTGCTCCCCGGGCCTCCATGACGCTCTTCTCAAGCCGTCAGCATCTCACTGCTGAGCTGGTGGGGGCTGTGGGAGCAGCTGCCATTGCTGAGCAACTGATCAGTGGCACCGTGCAAGAGGCTCCTTTGCCTGAAGGACCCTTTGTGAGTAAAGCCCAGGCCTGGGCTACCCATGTCTTTTCAGCTGGGATGTGGCTTGGGAAGGGCTCTGGAGAGGTGGAAAGGCTCAGGACCTGGTCAAGCTGAGGTCAGATGGAATCGTCCTTGGTTCAGGGGCATGGGGGAGTCAAATGGGCACAGAGAGGTGTATGTGTGCTCTGTGAGACAGAGGGCCCTAATCTGGGGTCACAGCTGTGACTGAGATGACCCCAGGCCTTCCGTTAGGGAGCTCCCGGTCTGGCTAGGGAGAGGCCCATTCTCATACAGTGAGAGCCAGAGTGAATATGGGGCTTGGATGGGGAAACATAAGGCAGAATGATCAGGGATGGATAGAAGGGGAGAAGCCTGGGGGGCTGTGGGTCCCACAGGAGCTGGTGGGGGGAGGCAGGGCTTCCTGGCAGATGGGGCATCTGAGCTGAGACTGAAAGAATGAGGCAGAGCTAGTGAGAGTTGTTCAAATCTGTCAAGTCTGTATCTATGTCCTCTGGGCACCAACTCTCTGGCTCGGCCCCTCTCTCACCTGCTCCCTGCTGTGTGGAATGCCTTCTATGTGCCAGGCCCTGCCTGAGACCCAGACAGAGTGGCGAAGGTGAGAGATAAGGGAAGGAGACAAACAGTGAAACTTAGGGGGGTGTGGGGAATTCCCACTGAAGGGCCAATCCCACGAGGGCGGGGGTGTTCTCTAACCTGCTCACAGCTGCATCCTCAGTGCCTAGCGCAGAAACGTGTGCAGGAGGCAGACAATGATTGGAGGACCAGGGTGCTCTGGAGCTCAAGACGGGCGAAAGGACTAGCCTGGGGCTTGGGGGAAACTTCCAGGCAAGGCTTACTGAGCCGGGCCCTGATGGATAAGCCAGAGCTGCCCAGGGGAGGGCTGGGGAAAGAGCATGGCAGGCAGAGGGAAGAGCTATGTGGAATGCCCTGAGGAGGGAAAAGTCTGGTGGGTTCCATGAGGTACAGGGGCTGAGGTTGGGTCCTGGGGTGGGAGCCCCAAAACATCAGGGCAAGGAGTATAGATGCAGATACTAGGTCGATGGGGGAACCATGGAAGAATTTTAAGCGGGGAGATAAACTCCCTCAAAAAAGTCCCAGAGTCTCCTATCCCATCCCCTAAAAGTGTGTGAGAGGCTCCGTCCAGATGATACAGGGCACAATCCCTCTTCTGAATTCAAGATTTGTTTGGATTTGTGAAACAGTAAGGTGTGCAGATGCTGTATATTACATCACACACCCCAAAGGCCAGGCAGCACCCTGTATTCAACACACCAGTGTCATGCAAGGAAACAAATTACTCATACCAAGTGGCTTAAATAAGAACTATAAATAGCCTCACGTCCGTTCAGGTCGGGTTTTGCTGAGCCTGGCACAAACTTACATATGGCCTTTCAGTTTTAGAGCCTTTAGGATATGGAGTGGATCAAGGGCACAACCGACTCTAGCTGGCTCCTGGCTTTCTGATGAGGGTGTCGTGCATGGGCGCCCTGTTCATGGGGATACTCAGTAAATAGTTGCTGGATGAATAAAGGGGTGGATAAGTCATACTCCTGCACCTTGTCCCCAAGTGTTGCAAACTTGGGGGGGAGTCAGGTAAGTAAATAAATGCGCATGAAGCAAGCTACTTGGTGCTGGAACAGGGAGGCTGGGGGTGTGGTTCAGGGAGCTGGGGGCAGCTAATGCAAACCCTGATCCTTAAGGCCTACACCTAGAAGGCTAACTTCCTCTCCCGGTACCTGGTGACCCTGGTCCCTGGGGATTCCTGACTCCCAGATGACCCCCAGGACACCCCCTGATGCTCCACCATCAGGCTCCCCAAGGCTCATGTGTTCAGGGAGCTGGGGGCAGCTAATGCAAACCCTGATCCTTAAGGCCTACACCTAGAAGGCTGACTTCCTCTCCCGGTACCTGGTGACCCTGGTCCCTGGGTGTTCCTGACTCCCAGATGACCCCCAGGACACCCCCTGATGCTCCACCATCAGGCTCCCCAAGGCTCATGGGTATCCTAGTTCCCTTACCCCGATGACCCTGACACTGATGACCTCTAGTCTTTGACCGTCAGGTGACTTCCCCTCTCAAGTGTCCCCCACTTCCCAATCCTGGGGTAACTTCCACACCAGCCCTGGTGCCCAGGCTCACATTTCTTCTCTGGGAAGCTGTTGCTGGTGGCAGGGCCAGTGCTGGGGCCGCCGCCAGGTGGGTGGGGGTGCTGGTGCTGGCGGCGGGCGGGCAGCGTGCTGGAGGGGAAGGTGCAGGTGCTGCTGAAGAGCACATCACTGGGCAGGCCCGGCTCCAGACCAGTGGGGCTGGCAAAGCTGGGCTCCCGACGCCCGCTGCACAGGCTCTCATCTGATAGTGTCCGCTGCAGGCTCTTCTGTGGTGACTGCTGCCAAGAAAGGGGTGGGATGCAGGGCAAGGTCACAGCCTGACCTATGGTCACATTCCTCAGAGGTTTCTTCCCATCCCGAACGTTTGTGGTAAATTCTTACCCACCCAGTATCCATCTCTGCCCCCTTGCTGATCAAAGAGCCCCAATTTTCCCCTAGAAGTCTCCCCCACCCCCAACTTGTGGCCGACCCCACCCTGCAGCTCCAGGTGAGGGCCCGAGATGGACGCCTCCCTCAGGGAGCTGGTGCGAGCTGAGCGGGACCGATGAGAACCAGTGCTGGGGCTCGGCGGGTACCACTGGGGTTGGAATGCTCTCTTCCCCTAGTGCCCTGGGCTGGAGGGGCCTAACCCAAGAGATAGGGGCTACCTTGGGCCCCACAAGAGAGCACCTGCCCGAGGGTGAGGCCAGTCAGGAGGCAGGGACAGGAGGTGAAGAGAAGCAGGCAACACTGGAGTCCCACGGTGCCCGCTGCTCCTGCCTTCCTCGTTCTTGGGTAACAAGGGTCTCGACTTCCCCTGGGATCCCCTGCCCATTGTTGGTTCATGCAGTTTGCACGGATGGGGGCTGTTTCTTTCCTTGGCTCCAGGAGAAGAACATGAGACCCGGGTCTTCCCAGAGGCATGAGGTACTCTAGTACTGGATAAAGTGCCTGCATGCCTGCCTGGGCTGGTTTAAACTGAAATTCTCTCCCTGACTAATGTGACACCCTGACTCTCGGCCATGAATCTACAGATGCCCAAACAGGGCTGGCATATGCTGATGGCTGAGGACTCAGGGAGAGAGGGTGGAGTGACCGCAGGGAGTGCCACCCTCCTCTCCATCCTCCCCTAGGCCACTGGGTTGCTGACTCTGTGGGGAGTCGGGGGCAGTGGCCGCTACGTACTCCTGTGTCTCTCTCCTGCTCTGGCCCCAGGTTGTCCATGATGATGAGTTTCTTCAGGTCGTCCTCGATGGTGGACTTGTAGTTCTTCCGTGGGGACCGCAGGTCTCGGAGGGATGCTCTCAACCGTGGCTGCCCAAAGACGTTTTTTGTGTTGGTGTCCACCTGCCTGGAACAACAGTGTCAGGGGTCAGCGGGGTCTTGAGGAGGTTCCAGTCACTTCTCAAAGCTGTTCCAATTCAAGAAGGCCGGCCGCAGCCCCTCTACCCTGCCTGGCCAAAGTGTGACAGAAGAGCAGCCTGGCTCCTCCTTCCACACACGCTTCCTGGGAACCTGCTGTGTGCCACGCCTGTTCCTGGTGCTGGGGACACGGCGGTAAACACAGACGACACGATTAAGGGAGACTGATGTTGAACAAATGAACAGAGAGACCCCGTAAGTAGGAAGAGAGATGTTCTGAAGGAAAATAAAGTTAGGGGAAGGGATGGGGATCGATGGGGATCGGGGATGGCTTTTCTGTTGTTTTTAAAAGATGACCGGTAGGGCCGGCCCG